CTTGGTCTCTGCCTCTCCCGTGGCGTCATGTGGTCCAATGAGCTGCAGCCAGTCAGGGGGTGACACGTCCTAGGCGGCAGCTGCCAGCCTATATAAGGGATGGGTTTTTGGGTGTCAGCCTATATAAGGGATGGGTTTTTGGGTGTTTGGAGTCTCTGCTCTGTAAGCTTATGCTCTCCCTCTCAAGATGCATTAAAGCTTTACTGCAGAAGGATCCTGAGTGTGCCGCGTCATTCTTGCTGGCGAGACGGTAGCTCGGAACAGTTGTATACATGCTTCTTACACTACAGCATCTGTGAACTAAGAGGATGTCCCAGGGAGGGTTCTAGTTCCCTCTGCTGTCTGCCTCAGCAGCAGTCTCAGTTTGTATGCTCACAAAACAGAAGATCTTCAATGGCATATGCAGTAATACAGCAAACAGTCAAGAGTTTATAGTGGGAGTGAGCAAGTAAGCAATAATACACTCTAGAAAAAGTGGGTCTGGCCAAGCCCGGCAGCAACAGCACCCATCTTAGTGTTAGGGCTTGGAGGCCACACTACTATCCTTAGTAACAACCCAGAGACAGAGGTTGGTGAAGGACATAATTTTATTGACCAGATTAGCAATAATGGACTAAAGACAATATGCCTCAGAGGACAGCAGTCCTCCTTTTTGACAGGGGAAGTAGTCCTGTAGTTTTTATGGGACAATGGGTGGGAGAGTCCTGTCCTTACAGACATTCTTTGGTCTCTCATTTAAGTTCCTAAAGAGCCTTGCTTTATTTTTATTTTTATTGGGGGGGGGGTTCGGGGCAGGGTTTCTCTGTGGCTTTGGAGGCTGTCCTGGAACTAGCTCTTGTAGACCAGGCTGGTTTCAAACTCACAGAGATCTGCCTGCCTCTGCCTCTGCCTCCCGAGTGCTGGGATTAAAGGCATGCACCACCACCACCACCTGACAAACCCTTTCTTTTGTAAGTTGCTTTAGTCATGGTGTTTGATCCCAGCAATAGAAAAATAACTAAGACAAAGATGCATCAGTATGCATAGAGGTATAAGTGCCCTAAAGTTGAGAAGCTTTCTAAGACAAATAAGGGCACTCTGTATATGCTGTCACTGGAGAGGGAGTCTTGCTTTTGCTTTATGTGACTTAGCTAGCATGGACCATTAATAGCTATTTGTACCTTATATCTTGTTTTTTTTGGGGGGTGAGGGAGGTCCTACGCTGGCCTATCTAGAGCATCCCTGTTGTCCTCCTCATATTGTGACCACTACAATTATCCTTATACGTGTTTCAGGATCTTGAGCTGGTCAACCCTTTGTTTTTTATGTCTTATTTTTGAGGGCCTGTTGATTAGTTCCTTCCAGAACCAACTTCCATTCTAACAATAAGACCAAGTAACTTCCTTTAACTGTTATAAAAGAATTCCCATCTCTCTTGTTTTACGTAAAAAGAAGCAGGTTCCTGAAAGGGGCTGACACATATCACCCTTCACTATGTGATGATGTCCTGAAGGGGACATCAGGCTCAGGTCTGAAGAGGAGCTCCCTTAGGTGATTCCACTGTACAGCATAACAGAGTGCCTGGAAGAAAGCGACTCTTACGTATTTTCAGGTGGTGCCAAAACGTTCTACACCACATGACTTAGCCTGGCCTAGCCCACATGCCAAAGAGCATAGAGGCAGGCACTGAGTAGAAACATATGTTTATCTTGCAGTTCCAAGGGAGAATAGGCTTTCTTTTCTCACCAAGGCCTAAGCACTCTGTCACAGCAGACACCTGTCAGTTCTTTACTAGAAGACAGACTGCAGGAAGCATGAGCCGATTTCTGGCAGAGCAAGTAGGGGGCAGCTAGAAGGTCTGTGATCTAGCATTTCTCAGGGGTGCCTTTCTTTCTTACAATGTATCCACTATATCTCTGTCTCTCTTATCAGTGTATTTTCCTTAGTAAATTTTCTTTAATCTTTCCTATATCTGTGCTAGTGTGGCAAATGCTAGATGATATCTGGCTACTGTTGCTCTCCAGTAAGGCTGACAAGATAACTGTTGTGGTATTACTTTTTCCTCCAGATATAATGTGACATGCCCATAGCCATTTTGGAGTAAAGATAACCTGTTAGCTATGGTAACTAAAGGAGCAGAACAATGCAGTAATGTCTAGGTCTGCAATAATGGTAATGATACTCCCTCACTAGAAAAAGGGGAGGGATGTAGGACTCTCACTGGACATTCTAGTTAGTCCTTCTGGCCCTCTTCTTAGGTACATGTGATCTTGGGAGAATCTGGAGTATATAAGAAGTGGAAGATTAACTAAAACTGGGACTTCATGATATAGCTTCTATGAGGTCATCATTAATCACTTTGAAGTGATACAGCTTTTTGGGGTCGCCTATGCTCCTATAAGTAAGCCTAATAAACTCATTGGTTCATAAACATGGACTTGGGTGAAACCCTTATTTTGGTCTGTCACTGGAAGTTTCGTGAAAAAGAATGGACACACATCACCCTTCAGAAGAGATTTATTGGCAGTGGGGGTGTTCTTAATCGGGAGGAGTGGGTCTTTATTTAGGTCCGAAGAGAAGCTTCCTTAGGAGAGAAATACTGTCATGGGTAAACAATTGGGAACCACAAATGCAAGCATAAACAGAATGCAAGAGATGGAAGAGAGAATTTCAGGCATTGAAGATACGATAGAGGAAATAGATTCATCAAAGAAAATGTTAAATCCAACAAATTCCTAATACCAAATATCCATGAAATCTGGGACACCATGAAAAGATCGAACCTAAGAATAATAGGGATAGAAGAAGTACAACTCAAAGGCACAGAAAATATATTCAACAAAATCATAGAAGAAAACTTTCCTAACCTAAAGAAGGACATGCTTATGAAAGCACAAGAAGGTTACAGGACATCAAATAGACTGGACCAAAAAGAAAAAAAAAAGTCCCCATGCCACATAATAATCAAAACAACTTACAGAATAAAGAAAGAATACTAAGAGCAGCAAAGGAGGAAGGCTAGGTAACATATAAAGGCAGACCTATCAGAATTACAAACCTGACTTCTCAATGGAAACAATGAAAGTCAGAAGGTCCTGGACAGACATTATGCAGACACTAAGGGACCATGGATGCCAGCCAAGACTACCATACACAGCAAAGCTTTCAATAACCATAGAGGGAAAAAACAAGATATTCCATGATAAAGCCAGATTTAAACAATACCTATCTACAAACCCAGCCCTACAGAAACTACTAGAAGGGAAATGCCCACCCAAGGAAGTCAGCTACATCTACAAGAACACAGGCAGCAAGTGAGCTTACAGCAGCAAATCCAAAGAAGAGAATTGAACACACAATGCCATCACCAAAAACAAAAACAAAAGTAACAGGAACTAGCAATTACTGGTCATTAATATCCGTTAATATAAATGATTTCAACCCACCTATAAAAAGACACAGGCTAATATATTGGATACGAAAATAGGATCCATTCTTCTATTGCATACAAGAAACACACCTCAACCTCAAAAGACAGACATTACCTCAGAGTAAAGAGTTGGGAAATATGTTTCCAATCAAATGGACCTAAGAAACAAGATGATGTAGCTATCCTACTATCTAACAAAATAGATTTCAAACTAAAACCAATCAAAAGAGATAAAGAAGGACATTCCATATTCATCACAGGAAAAATCCATCAAGAGGAAATCTCAATTCTGAACATCTATGCCCCAAACACAAGGACTTCCACATTTGTAAAAGAAACATTGCTAAAGCTTAAATAACAAATCAAGCCCCCCACACAAATAGTGGGAGACTTCAACACCCCACTCTACCAGTGGTCATGTCTGCCAGACAGAAGCTTAACAGAGAAATAAGGGAACTAACAGATGTTATGACTCAAATGGACTTAACAGACATCTATAGAACATTCCACTCAAACACAAAAGAATATACTTTCTTCTCAGCACCTCATGGAATTTTCTTAAAAATAGACCACATACTTGGTAACAAAGCAAAACTCAACAGATACAAAAAAAATTGGAATAACTCCATGTTTCTTATCAGATCACCGTGGTTTAAAGTTAGAATTCAACAGCAACATTGATTTCAGAAAGCCCACAAACACATGGAAATTGAACAATGATCAACTGAATCACCACTGGGTCAAGGAAGAAATAAAGAAATTAGAGACTTCCTAAAATTTAATGAAAATGACCATGTAACACACCCAAACTTAGAGGACACAATGAAAACAGTGCTAACAGGAAAGTTCACAGCACTAAATGCCTACATAAAGAGGCTTGAAAAATTGCACACTAGTGAATTAACAGAACAACTGAAAGCTCTAGAACAAAAAGAATCAAACTCATCCAGCAAGAAATAGTCAAACTGAGGGCTGAAATCAATAAAAATAGAAACAAAGAAAGCAATACAAAGAATCAATGAGACAAAAGTTGGTTCATGGAGAAATTCAACAAAATAGACAAACCTTTATTCAAACTAACCAAAAGACACACACAGAGAGAGCATGCAAATTAACAAAACCAGAAAGGAAAGGAGGGACATAACAGCAGACACTGAGGAAATCCCGAGAATCATCAGGTCAAGAGAAAGGAAGACAGCAAGGGTGAGAGCGACTGAGGAGGGAACAAGTAAGGTGACCAGTGAAGCAAGGAATAAGGGATGAAGACGGGAATGAAGTAATGCAGGGGAAACGAGGCAATAGTGAACGAAAGAAGGAGGCATGAGTGTGGTAAGGGAAGTAAGGGGTGAGTACATCAGTGAAATAATGCGAGCACAAGAAGGCAGTGAGTGAGATGGTAAATGAATGGGTGAAGAGAAAAGAAGCTGTAAATGAGAGAATGAGTGACGGTAAGATTGAGGCAAGGAGAAAGGGGAAGAAGGAGGAAACAGATTTGCACCTCCAAAGGGCATCTCATGGGTGGCGCTTCCAGACCAGCAATCCCCAGTCGAGCAGCCCCTCTCCGGCCCTTCAGCTTCGCCCCTCCCCTTCGTCCCCTCTCCCCCACAAGCCAATTTGCGCCTGCGCGGTGTCCCACGTGACAGTGAGGCTCCGCCCCCGCCTTCGGCCTCCCGCCTGCTGCGAGAGCGGCCTCAGCTTGCGGCAGCACCAGGTCAGCTG